TGAGTTCGATCACTTACTGAGAACAATACTGGTAGGCCCACAGACGCCAGGACGCGCTGAGATCATCCGCGGCATACGCATCGTCACTTCCGGGTCCGAAGCAGTCGTCTTGGTTCTCCGAGTCGCACCAGGACGATGTGTAGTTGACGTAGCCAATGTAGTTCTTGAGTCGAGGGGCCAACTCCGTGACTTCTGATTCATAGCCGCCAACCTCAAGTAGGTAGCGAGCACTAGAGTCAAGGCTATCCGTTGCGGGCCACACCAGTTCGTCGGAGGTCATGTTGCCACAGTAGAGAAGGAAATCGTCGCTGTCAAGGGCTGGGTCCCAGTTTCGACCCTGTAGCCCTGCAATGCCGCCCCCAATCGCGCTCGCAAAGTCGACGCTCGCAGTCACGTTAGGGAGTCCGAAGGCGGTCTTTAGTGTCACGATGTCCTCTTCAGTCGTGTTGCCCTTCTGCATCAAGATGTTGTCCACCATGTGCATCAGTTTCTGTGTCGTCTCTGCGCATCCCTCGGGGGCGAAACGTCTCGCGGCTTCATAGTATTCCCAAAAGTCAACCACGGCGGCAGTGACTCCAGAAGAAGAGATCGCGCCCCAGAAGACTTTAGGGTACAGTTTGCGCAGAAACGCGACGAAGGCACCGGCATACGAGCCTCCGTACACGATCCACGGTGTTTCCGGTGCCGTCAGATTAACTTCTGCCAGTTTGCCGGGGAAGACAATGTTCTTGGCAAAGTAAGCAGTGTCCGCCAAGGCTTGATCGGTCGTAAGGAATCGCAGATTTTCCGTGCTGAAGTCTGGGGTGGGATAGCTGCGGCCGTAGTACCGATGTTCCAAGATGACGCCGACTCCGTTGGTTGCTTCCGCCAGGATGGCAACGATACCCTTTTGCAAGAAAGGCAAGCGGCCCGCGCCGCTGGTTTCACCCGCTGCCAGGGCGATGACAGGGCCTCCAGGCTGGTAAAACCGGTCGTCGTACCAGTATCGGAGAGGAAAGCTGCCATTCGAGTGTGGCTCGTACATGGAATCATTGTGGAAGTGGTCAATGGGAACCGAAAAGTTGAAAGGCCGGTAGAGAGTGGACGGATCCGGCGCGCCGGGGGCACTGTCATTGGCGAATAATCGGACGACCTCGGGGCCTGCAGCTCCTTCGGCAGCGGGTTCGAGCTCGGGTTGGAGATGGAACTCCCTCCACATCTGAGCCGGGCTAGGCTGCGGTCCCAGAGCTGCGGTGACCCGGATGAAGCCGAGCAAGCCAACTGTTAGCCAAGACGGCGCCATCGTGTCCCGTTTGACCTTGAAATGAGAAAGAAGATCAACTTGAATGAAGGCAGCTGCGGACCGTACAGAATTCGCGCCAACAAGTCGCGCCCCCGGCCATATTTGTGCTGTCCGTGTCGCTGCCGATCATCGCAATCTCAGTCCGTGGGTGCCGCAGCGTCGTACGAGGGGTCCAGGGACTCGATTGCGTCTTTGCGTGTCCGAATGCTACCTACCTGATCGGTCCTGGCGCCCCATTCGACGATACGAACTCATTGTTCAAAGTTCGATGTTCGACCTTCCCGAAAAGCACAAACTTCGATCTGAGATGGGGCTGGCCAAGGCCTGTCCCCTGCCTTGTTGGACGTCATGGATTATGAACCCGCTCGGCAGACTTTAAAGGGGATCTGCAATCAAACGCTAATATCATGACAACTATTTTGCCTCAGACAGCAATGCTGTCTTTAGACTTTGAAATGTTTAATTCGGGATGACTCAATAAAGCTTGCCTGCGCTACGGTTTGATTGCAGAACGTACTTAGTACGTATGCGCCGTATTTCCAAGCTTAGAGGCGCGGCAAAACTAGGTCAATTTGAACCGTGTTAGCCTTGTTTAGGCTCGCTGAGTATGTGTTCAATGCGGCTGGGTTAGTAAACAGCACCTATCGTAGACGCTTGGGAACCAGAACTGTCGCCAGCCTTTAATTGCCAGCCGCAATGCATGGGCTCAATGACGCGAGACTAAAGCATTAGCACAGATGGTCGTAGCAAGTGGACGAAGCACCGCTTTACAATCTGAAATTTTATACTGCTAACCTGCTAGGAAAGGTGCAAATGGTTACATCTACGCATCTAATCAACCGCTAACACTTATACCACTTAGTTCAAATTGCTCTTAGCGAACATATTCGTGCAGGGTTTTCGCAGGAATACAACAATCACGTCCCGACCTTAATGTCTCCAGAACTAGTGCGCAGACCATTGGCTGCGGAGACTCTGCTCAGACATCCAAGCTAATGAGAGCCTTGTGAGCAGTTCTAAACAATCTGATTCTCTTCGTTGCGGCCTCCTGCCCGAGTCTCCCCTCTGCCTAACACCACCGCGTCCACCTCGGGTCCTTTGTTGAAATCACCATTGCTGACACGGCGATAATGGATAGCTAGGCCTATCAGGCCGACCCATATTGCTAACTCCGATCCATATATAACGATTCCATAGATTTTGAGTGTCTTCTGAAAGATCACAGATAGAAGCGATGCAACATCCCCGCTCAGATCCAATGTTGCGAACTTGAGGGACAAGCCCGCGTCCGATCGAGTCTTCAACATCTGAAGGTAATGTCGGAGTACGCCACCAGCCAAAAGAAGCGCAGCTACAATAGCCATGAGAATTGATGGCCACGTGTGCCCGCGTTCGCGTGCCAATTTGAGTGCGTATACAAGGCCAACCTCGGCACCGGCCAGAACAATGGCTATGCCGATGACGCTAGCTACTATTTTCCGTGTGCTCCATTTGTCGCCATAATATTTGCACTGAAACCAGGTCCAGAGACTGAGGAAAATCAAGATTTTGGGCTGTATCTGGAGGGCAATGTTAAAATCGTCGGCGATATTGTATACGCCGAGGGGGACCCCAGCGACAGCCCATGAGAGGAAAAACGTTGACGACAGGGACTGGGTCTCGTGCCGCCGCCAGTTTTTCCAAATTTGAGGCAAGAGCTTGAATGAATTTCAGTAAAGATATTTTGAAAAGACTACAAACAGAAAAGTTGGTTTCTACCTGAAGCGACCAAAGCACTGCCCCAAGGGTGCCGAACACGTTGGCAGCAGCGGGACTGTCCATGGTCTTCTTGGATATTAAGCTCGTGGAGAGGGTTGAGCACTCTGTGATGCTAGAACTTTGTTGACTCTTAATCTGTGTTGCAAAATCAAAATTCGTCCGGTTTGACGGAAAGTACAACGCATATATATGCGAACAACACCGTTCCGACAGTGAAGGGGTTGTGATCTCAAACTGACCAATCAAATCGTTCCTGTGAAAGATGACCTTGAACCAGCCAATCATGTGCTTGAGCTAGTAAGAGCCGAGATCGGGTTCAGACGGGTTATTGACTGAGCCAAGCCAAATCTCGAAGTCAAACCTCTCTTCATCGTTTTCCCATGGCCTGGACCATCATCATCAACCTTCCCATCGATGGCCTCTCAATTCAACAAGACTGTCGATTCTGCCCGGTGGCTTCTCGTCTCTCGTCGCGATCTCTCTGCTAATTCGTCTTTCTTCTACGGTGTCAAATCGACCCAAATCTTTTGCCGGCCAACGTGCCCCGGTCGTGTCGCTCGACGAGGCAATATCATCTTCTTCAACGACCTGCAACATGCCTCGCAATCCGGATACCGATCCTGCAAGCGATGCGAGCCATGTAAGGACGACTGGAGCAGAGACAGCAGCAGTCGCAAGATTGCACATCAGGCGCGCGCTATGATTGCAGCCGCCGAGGCCGACAGCCTCAAGTGGACTGTAGGAGGCCTGGCGCGGAAGCTGGGCGTGGCAAGCGCGCACCTCCACCGGCAGTTTAAGAAATGTTTTCTCATGACTCCCAAGGCTTTTGCGGAATCTCTTAGTAGGGCAGAGAGAAGCCTAATTGGGTGTTCGGGACTCGACGGACAAGTTCCGTCCTCAGACTACAGATTACCAGGGACGTTTACAGACCTTGAAGAATACTTCCCTTCGGACGACACCATGGGCGGTTTCTTGACTTGGTCTGCGGATGAGGTGGACTTATTCGAAGCCCTGGGCCCTACTATAGATACGGGATCTTGAGTGAAGTAGTGCGTATAAAGAATAAGGGTTGCGTTCTTATGAATTTAACATTAATATAACTTTCTTACAAATGAGGTTTGATCAAGAATCATGTGCTGTAGGCTGAAGCGTTTCTTTTAAAGAACAAGATATCATTTTAGATCTCATTGATTTCTTGTCACTCAAGCCCGCTTGCTACATTCCCAAACTCGCCGACTTGGCTTACGGCCAGCTAGTCTTGGTGAGTTTTGTGCTGACAATAGTCGAGGCAGTAATACTAGTTACGGTATCGTGACTTTAATAGCTTGTTAGAAGCCATGTCCTTGAGTCGTAGGCGAGGGCAAAGATTCGGTAGTCGGTGATACTCTTGCTGAGAATCTCCATCAAACGCCTAGGACACTATACCTTCAACTAAAGCAGCAAAATAGTATCACTCAAATAACGAGGTTCGATCCTAGATTTCAACGGCTAGATACGGGTTTGAATGGTTTACATGCTATCTAGAATGCAATCCAGCTCTAAGTACATCCACTGTTAGCTGGAATACGGTCTCGTATTCACCGTGATACCCGCTTCTCTCTTCTCAAGAGCATAAACGCGAAGAAATAGATGCTGAGATAGAACCGCGAATAGGAGGAATCCATATTTCCAGACAAAAGCATTAACAACAGATCACCAAGTTTAGTTTTGCAGTGGATAAAAGGTGGTATAATAGGTATAGAAGATAACAAAGGCTTGCGATAGGGTGGCCCATATTCAACAGCCGCCGTAAAGCGACCCCAGAACATAAAACCTCGCCAACCATGCAAAAGTAGGTGACACGACCCCGCTGTTTCCGTGTCCTCGCATCATTAGTTCTTTACTCCCCGACAAAACACAGTTCCACAACTAGCTCGCTCGCGCATGTAATTTGATTGATATCGTAAGGTTGCTGAAGCGTTTAGACGTCCTGGACGTTGACAACGTCGCCGTAGCGATCGACAGCGACCTCCTTCTTCTGGATGGAAGCCTTGACTGGCTTGTCGGCAGCGAAGATGTGATCGAGCTCCTCGAGCTGTTTCAGATGAGTCAGCACATGCTTTGAAAAGGTCACTACACTTAATCTGGATACTTACGGTGCGGCCCTTAGTCTCGGGAATGAAGACGTAGATGACAGCGGTCTGGACTGCGTCCCAGATGGTGAAGATGATGTAAGTCTTCCAGGCAATCTTCTCCATGGAGACGGGCCAAGCGAACTGGTTCAGGAGACCGGCGGCGTTGACAGCCAAGTTGGAGAAGGCCATACCCTTGGCGCGCATCTCGAAGGAGAGCACCTCGACGGGGTACAGAGCCTGGAGGGGCGTGATACCGACCGAGTAGACTGAACCGAAGATGAAGATCATGGCCAAGCAAGCCTGGGACGCGGCCGGGTTGTCGAAGATGGGGGCACCACTGTCCGTTTCACCGACCTGAGACTTGGACAAAATACCTGAGGCGACAGTCATGCCGAGCCAAACAATTGTGCAAGCGGTGAAAGAGAAGAGCAGTAGGGGACGACGACCGACTCTATCAACAAGCAAAGCACCGCAAATGGCGCACAGGAACTGCTGGCAAGAGTTGATGAGGGTGATGTTGGCTTGCTGGATGGGGTGGGTGTAGCCGGCGGTGTCGAGAACGGATCCGAGGAAATACGACAGAACAGCGTTGCCGGCCCACTGACCGAAGATCGAGATACAGACGTTGCAGGAGAGACGGTAGACAGAAGCGCGGTTGCGGAACAGCGCACGGTAATCCCACCAGCGCTTGTCGGCACCGTCCATGTTGAGGAGCTCTTCATACTCGTGTAGCTGGAGCTTGACCCATGGAGAGTCGGGGTTGCCATTTCCGTGGTACTTGGCGAGTACTTCGGCAGCCTTCTCCTTCTTATTGTTGACGAATAGCCATCTGGGAGACTCTGGCATGAACATGCAGAAGATAACAATGAGTCCGGAGAAGAGAGCCTGAAGCCAGGTGATGAGGCGCCATGAGGCATCACCATCGATGTCCAGGGCTCCGCGAGCTGCACCAGAAGCAATGATAGCTCCAGAAAACCAAAGTGTATTGTATAGCGCTCCAACGACTCCGCGGTAGGCCTTGAAGAGTCGTTAACACAAGATTCTTCATCTTGTTCGATGAGTTGAGGTTGTTACTTACCGGGTGGTTGATCTCGACGACGTACATGGGTCCGGCGGATGCGGCGATGGAGACACCGAAACCAAGCAGGAATCGACCTCCCATGAATTGGCTAGTGCCATTGGCAGTTGCCTGGATGCAGGTACCGATAATGATGATGGCTGCACCGATGAACATGCCGATTCTGCGACCCCAGGTGTCGAGGGCGGGACCGACGAAGGGAAGAGCCACAACACCACCAATCTGGTACATGGAAGAGATAATACCAGCCCAAATACCGTCGTTCTTGGCGCCATAACGCTCCTTGAAAGAAGGGTTCTGAAGCAGGTTGTTGATCAAGGAACCGTCATAACCGTTCATGGTGGAACAGAAGAAACCGATGAGGGAGAAGGCGTAGATCATCAGCTGGGCTTTGGTCCAGGCACTAGGGGGCTCCTTGATCATGGCCTCGTTGAAAGCCTCGCTACCCCTGACGACCTTGGTCTGGATTTCCTTCTGCAACATCAAGACATGTTAGCTGCTGCTTCCAAAATCAGTTGTGCGGGGCTCGACGGTAAAAGTCACTGCGACTTGCCTTGTCGGAGTCATGGTCGTGGGCGTGGACAGTGTCCACGGTATCAATCTTCTCGGACATGCTGACTGTGGACGGCACGCGGCCGAGGCGCAAGTTCCCTTTGTTGTTGGCGGAGAGGGAGTAAGCTGAGATGGCCGATCACCACAGACCAAGCTGTGTGTAATGGATCTTGGAGGCGGGAAAGTGGATGAGGGGAGGGTTGAGGATGGAAAGCTCAAGACAAAGCAGGCCAGGGATCGCGGGGACACGCCGAGGTTTTATGATTTTCGGCCTTGGAAATCACCTGCGACGGGGATGAGGAGTAAGATTCCGATGGAGAGGAAGCGGTTCTTGGTAGGAACGAACCCCAACCTTCAATTGCCCATCAATTAGTTCGGCCGTTTCGAGCCTACCACCCTTGCATGGGGTGGAAGGACGGCCCATTCCCACATGGGACCGAAAAGGCGGCTGGACTAGGGCGAATGGTCCTTGGGTTTTGCTTGTACTGGCTGGGCAGATCGTTGGTTGCACCACCCTCGTTCACGCACCCCCTACCAAACCCTTGTCCTTTCAGAATTCTCAAGCAACACCTGCGGATGCTGGGTTGCCACTTGAGCGACCGGCTACCTAGTCCAGCATCCGACTTGTGGGCACAGGACATGCGAAGAGGCGTTGCCCGAACGTAGACGCCGAAATTCGCCTTGAGCTATCAGGTCAAGCTCACCATGTTCGTCTTCTAACCTTGAAGAATTCGTCTCAGGGTGTGACACTGCTTGGCGGGTACCAGCTACTCGTTTTCTCGGTCCCGTGATGGCTGCATCGCAATCAATGTGAATGAGATGGGAGGCGTCCGGGCGGTTCGTTAAGCAAACCTTGGGGGCGGCTTATGGTTCTGGCCTGTCTGTCTGCCTTAGTGCGGAGGGAAACCCCCAATTACTCTCCAACAATGCTTCGTCCGTGCCGAGTTCTTCTGAACATGGTATGCAGGGCCTGGCGAAGGAACGCTAATGAAGGCGTGTCAACCTAGAAGCCCATCCCAGTAGACGAGACGAAACGGGCCGGCAGACGAGATAGGCCAGCTTGGCTAGTGTCTGGCGTTGACGATGTGTGCGTTGGGTTTCGATTATGGTCACCAACGTTGTCAGGCGGAGGAGCAGAAGCGTCAAGTCTCTTGTCCTGGCCGGTCTCTTCTGCTTTCACCCTCCCCGGATCAGCGGGTCGACAGGCTCCGTACCCTTGCCAGGATGTTTGCGGATGCTATGCTGCCTTGCTACCGGTTCGATGGGGCGCTGGAGAAAACGCCAAAAAAGGTTTTGCTGAATCTGGGGCAGAGTGTGTGGGCTTGTGGAGATGCTGGCCGTCTTGCCTCGAGTCGACCGGGTTGGTCTGTTGAGTCGAGCGTAAGGTGACCTATTCGGGACTTGCCCAGTTGTCTAATCGGAGATATCATTGTTGTCGTAGGCGACAACTTCTTTCGAGATCGAATCATTGTGAGCCAATTCAGGTTCCTCGGTTGCCCACCAGCAATACCTACGGATAGTCCATGGGGCGCCCGCCCGGGTCCCTGAGACCACGCAGCCGAAGACACACGAGCCCGTCGCACTCTAACGCGTTCTGTGGCGTCTGGGTTGGCTGGAGAGGGTTTAGATGGGGAAGAAAAACTGGAGGGGAGATCTGGAGAAAGGTACGCCAAACCCAACTGGGTCACAATAGCTCAGAATGAGAGGATTCACAGTCGACTCTAGCCGGGCCGTCGTTCCATGTGGTCTGAGAGCAACACCTATCGACTTTCATTTGCTGCCTCTGCAGACTGGGCATCATTGAAGCGACAGAGGACTCAGTCCTTGGGGGGAGTGTCCTGGGCTTTGCTGAGTGTTCATCCACCCCCTGTCGTGGTTTTCGTGCTCACGCCAGGGATGTATCTTACTAAGGACCGATACTCATTCCATGCCCTTACCTTGTAAGACAGCTAAAGTATTTCGCAATAGCGAAAGGTCCCGACTTCTTACTCCGTACACGCTTGTTAGCAAATTCACCAGATGGGGCTACAGTTTTGAACCAGACTACTGCGTGAAATCCGTCTAAACCAACCAAGCTCACGGACACATGTATTCCCATCTTAGTTACTTTCCATAGTTCAGCATTCCTTGAAAAGAGGAAACGGCGGAAAGGATCATAATTGACTTGACAAATGCTCCATCTGCACTTTCTGGCGCCCTCCGAGTCTTCTCCCCATTCTCTCGACAGGACGCTATTCCTATCTGGTAGACGGGCCGCCTTCCTCCGCGCTAAAATCTGCCTCAATGTGGCAGCCCAGGCCGGGAAACGCCTCTAGACTCAGACTCGGAGCTAAAGCACCCAGTCCCTGCGATCGCTGGCCCACCCACCCTTGTCATCTTGGAGCCGTTCTATTCTCATATTGGACTTTGGATGTTGCGCCGTTGGCTCGGGATGGAGAAATTGGAGTATCATGCTTTCTGAACTCGACTCTGGGAAGCGGACGGACATGTACACGCTTGCCTCCGTACTCACGCAGACGAAGGACAACCATTCAGCGTCGGCTCCTTTAATGGGTCCTCCGCGGCTGCAAGCCTCCGGCAATGGAATCCCATTCCTCCTCCTGAATTCCAGCGTATGAGAGCCGGTTCCTACGTCTTCTTGATGATCCACACTGAGTGGTGGAATCATGACCCACGGCGGAGAGCGAGGCACATGGGCGCACGCGACCCATCGGTGCGGATCTCATGTGCCCATCATCCTAGTCTACCAGTCAGTCCATTGTCCTCGCTAGCCCCCGCGTCTACTCACATCAGTCGCTATAGCCAACTCTCAACCTTGATCCTGCATCAAGAAGACTTTATTCGACGAATGGTCACAGATTTCAGCCACAACTGCAATGCGTATCCTCAAGCTGGGCTTCTTGGTGCGTTGAGCGGGCCGTGATCCAACGCCACCGTACAGTCTCCCAATAGGCTTGGGGTGAAGATTTACGGTCGGTGTGAGAAGCTCGCCCGTGATCTGTCAACAGGGTCACGGATCCGAAAGCCGCTGTCCATGCTGCGCCTCTGGTGAGTACTCTAGAGTCTAGAGCGACGTCCGATCGGCCGGGTCAACCGCATCAGCGGCCTCGAACGTGTTCCGCGATCCACATTGATCAATGTGCCAATATATTCGCTATTCGGGGTAGCCTAGTGGACAATTTCCTTTGCGCTCATCTGACAGGAAGAATAGCAGGATCACTATGGCTGACATAGCCCGTGGTACCTCGACAGCATGCGAGCGTGTAGATGGCCATGACCGTACTCATGTCGATCTATTTCGAAGCAGTAAACATGATGGAATCGATAAGAGTCAGCTACCTCAGGACGATAGATGGGTTAGCGATAGCAACTCGTGGGCTTCAGCCGATGGTGTTGCATCTCCATCTTGCCGGCAACACAATCGGAATTTTAAACAGCGGTGCGTGGATCCTCACGGACAGCTGATACCCTGGGTCATACAGGCGGGATGCGTGATTAATCACTGATTTTGCTGATCCTTCAATGGCACTCGCAAGCGAGTTGAAATTGGACCAAGTGCAAGCTGAGTTTCAAGTTCCCGACTCGTTGTAAGACGTTCTACCTTTGTCATTACCAGCAGTTGTATAGTGTACGCCTTTTCAAGCTGAGATTCATGCCAAGTAGACGAAAGCCCAGGAGGGAAAGTTGCCGCTGCAAGATCCGCACCGACAACCCGACACATCTCGGCGCCTCTGGGGTAGTGAGATGCCGTGGCACGGCGCAGCACCTATGAACAGACTGAGATGGAGAATCAAAGGCAGCCCTAATAGCCGAAGAAGAGACCAACAGAGGAAAGAGTCTTGATAAGGTGCCGAGTCCCCACGCCTAGTCATTCCGAGTCCGTCTCACTATGAACGAAAATGTGAAGATGCAGCCCCAGCACTGACTCTCCCATAAGCGGAAGAAGACACAATGCAGCATGTTACCATATGTTTTCCCCTAGATTTCGATCTGGAGACTGGCTGCTGCATGACACCCAACTTCTTCTCATGTCTTGTCCGGGGTTCCGGCATACCACACAGAGGCGACAGGCTTTCCGCGGCAAGGCTTTCCGCCAACCAGTACGCATCGGGCTCTGGTGCAGGAGGACCTTTGATGCTAATCTTGTGACCGGAGAACCCACAGGGCGGCGCTAACGGAACATCTTTCCTAGAAGAAGACCGGGGTGCCACCCTCCAGAACACCCAGAGTGTGGGTGGCTTAATTGGATCCGCGGTCCTGGGACCGTTCTCTCGGCTTCGCTAATGTGCGGATCGATAATTTGCGCGACATCCTCAATCACAGGCTTCTGAGAACGACTGTACCGGCAGGCGGGCTTCTTCTTTGCCGCTTGGAAGAGGCCAGCGAGTGGCCAAGTTGGGCATAGGGTGCAATCGAACTTGAATAACCGATATGCGAACTAACCTTTCGGTAAAGTCAAAATGCCTCAAAGGTCTTCATTTGGAAGCCCTCACTCCATATTACTTCGCACTCCTCTTACCTTTCTTCACCCAGGCAGCTAAATGGGCACTCGCCAACTACACACCCATCCGCCCGGGTACCTTGCCTTGGAGGAAGAAGTGTGGCCGTGATCCACGGAGGGGTTGCACGCATGGCAAGAAGCATAGCGCCCTGATCTCGTTGCACTAGCGGTACTGCGTGCCGTTGCCAGTCTTCAAAACCCTGTGGAGGTTGAGAGACCAAGATGCTGCCTAGTATGCAGTTCAAGGCTGCTCGCCTTGGCCGTCTGGGGTGGCCTTGCGTCCTTTCCGTAAGGTGTGCTCGTCTACCTGTTACGGGGCTGATCTTGTGTAAAGCTGGGGTTTCTCGATGTGAATTTAATAGCTGTCCACGAAGGGTTTGGGCTTGCCATGCTGCATCGGGCACTATATTTGCACTCCCAAGCTGATGATCCGAGCTTAGAAAATTTTGCTACGGCGGCATCTAAAACTTCAACAATGACCATTCTTGCCATAAAGTTAGCTGTGCCATGCTCTGAAATAGGGCTTCTAGTTGCCTCATGTTATTTGTGAATGTGCCTTCTTTGTATAACATCCTCCACTAAGCCCAGCCCTCTTGAGTTCACTCAAAAAGACTAAGCAAACATGAAATAGTGTAGGCCAAAAGGGAAGGATGATATAGACAGTGTAGACATTTGAGTGATGGCATTTTGAGTAACATCAAGAGGCTAGAGATCTCACTTATTATATTAACCACATTTAAGAGATAGCACTTGAGTCAGTAGACAGGTGGGCGAGAAGCCTGGAAGTCTCTTGTCTTGCTTTATCTGTCTCCGAACATGGTGTGTCAGTCGGTAGACTTGTCGACTTTCCTTCGAAATATCAACACTCTCAGATATGCCGCAAAAACAACTGTGAGTGACATTGCCAGACCAGTGAATAGCTGAACACCGAGATAGCTTCCAGTCAATCCCAAAATAGCGCCAGCAATTGGCGGCCCAATGAGTGAACCGATTCCTTTGAGCACAGCAACAAAACCAAGTCTCGTTCCCAGGATGCCAAGATCATCAGTTATGCTTGCTAGAACGACCGGAGCCAGAGTGACGACACTCGCGCAGAAGAAGCCATACAAAACTGCAAACGCCACGTTGCCCGCAGTGTTATTCACGCTGATCCAGTAGAAAACGGTTATGGCGGTCATGGTACAAATTCCAATATAGGTATTCAGCACACCAAATCTGTCGGCAATCAGGGAAGGCAAAATACGTCCAGGGATACCGACTGCGTTGAGTACCACAAGTAAATATTTGGCTAGAGCCGCGCCCTCCATTCCGTGCGATTGTGCGTAGCTTTGAATGTAGTAGAGAGGCTGGAAGAATGCGAGATTGCTGAAGAAGATAGCAATGCATTGAACCATATATCGAACATCCAGAAGGCCAGCGATTTCGGCGATTTCTTTCAGCGAGTTGTTCTTTGTTATCAGGGTTTTAGCACCCTTGGTCCGAGGTCGTGCCACAATCACGGCATAGCAAGACATGGCTAAAGTGACGAAACCTATCACTCGGACGGTCCACGGAAAGCCTATTCGAGGCTGCAAGCTCTCAAAAATGAGGGGATAAATGGTAGCTCCCAGACTGCTTCCAACGGTTGCCACCCCCATTGCCAACGCCCTTCGGGCTGTGAAGTAGGGAGGAACCAAGGTGATGGCGACGGTATACAGGCAGCTGGAGCCAATACCAACACAGAAGCCCTGCGCAAGTAAGAACTGATAGTACTGTGTGCTGATGCTGGTCATCATGAAGCCAAAGACGACGAGAAATGTCCCTGTCAATAACATGGATCGAGCGTAGCCGAGATCATAGAGCGGGCCAGATATGACACCACCAGCCATGAGAAAGAATACTTGGACTGAGCCAATCCATGCAATAGCTGAAGATGAATCGCTTGTGAGCAGTGTAGTTTCATAGTATGTCTGGAAAGCACCAAAGCCGTTGAGCAGACCCCTGCGTCGAGAGGCGTTAGTCGAGCACAATTGAGGTAAAGAGAAGGGACAAAGCCTCCCGGATATGAGACGCAGACTTACAGACTATTCCAGTAGAGTGCGAAAGCCGACGAAACTTGGAGCCAAGCTACCATTCCTCCATCAGTAGCTGGCGATTTTTGGACCGCGTTTCCAGGTTCTGTTGACGATCGTTCCGGGATCGGGCGCCCATCATTAAATTCGTCATCTTCCCGAAGCCCGACCGAGAACGGCTCAACCACGGGCGGTCGAGTATGCAATAACTCGTCCTTGGTCATTTTTCCGAAGCATGATCCTTCAAGATCACGGTGCAATTCTGTTGTAGTTGTAGATCAAGGTTTCCAAGTTCAGTACTCTGGTGTTGCAGTGCCGGGGTGGATTAACGGCAAAAGCGGCACCTGTGACCGGCATCGGAGAGCGGCTGTTGAACTCGGATAAAGACGGATTCAGGGTGTTTCTCCAACGCCGAAATCAAGCTCACTACTCGGATTCACGACCGCTGACACTTTAGCAGTACTACGTGTATCTCATTGAATTCATCTCTGAGTAAGTTGATAAAGTCCATTCTTTTAGCACAATATATTATTATTAATATCCTTATTATAGGGTAGTTAGTTCGAACCGTAGGTTAATAAAGAGATTAATTAAATTATATAAATTTTTATATAATAAGTATAAAAAAGAGGTTCTAACTATAGGTTAGGCTAGCTATAATAATTATAAATAGGGCCCCTAATTAGCCCTTGCGTAGTTAGCTATATGCCGCGGTCGAATTAGACTTCTAATTTAATAATTATTAAATCTTTATATATATTAAATACCACCGTTCTGCCGCTATGTTAAAATATTTATAACGCAAATTACCGAGGGTAATTAAAGTAGAAAAAAAATATTGGATGGTTAAGTATTAAGCCTACTAGACACTAACCCAATCGCAAGAACGAGATGATGTGATAAGTAGCATTGGTGTTTATGTGCTTGAACAAGTTACTAATACATACAATAGCGTACAATAATCTAAGCGAATCTTCAAGCGCACGTAACACTGTACAGGCTTCCTTGTAAGGCTTGTAATACTTTCATAACTCGACAAATTCTCTGGGCACTCTTGGAACTCTAATGACCAGATCAAGAGAGTGATCAAAAGCTTCATTTCCATGTATGCCAGCTTTCGTCCGAAGCAACCGCGAAGTCCAAGGCCGAAGGGTAAGGTCGGCCCTGCAGAACCATTATATTCATCATTACCCTTCTCATCTCGTACAAGCCAACGATCCGGCTTGACTTTCTCATCTCCTGGGAGCCCCAGGCCCAGGAACCAAAATCGGTGGCTGCTTTTCTCGAAGATGGGCTCCGCAGGCGTTCCTCGATCTCATATCCCGGCTCAGTAAAGCTTGGACCCCGGTTTGGGACAATGACGGTGGTACCCTTGGGGATGACATGGCCCAAGATGACTGTATCTTCTTTGCACTCTCGATCTTGACTGGTTGCTGTATGAGCAAGCCGAAGCATTTCCTCAATAACTGCGTCTAGGTACGGTATGTTTGCTTCGCAAATCTCAGAGTGGGTAGGAAGACGACCCTCACTACTTGCTGCGGTGTGAAAGCTCTGAATGCTTTCAAAAAGTCTCTGCTGAACTGCTTGGTCATCCGCGATGAACTTGATGCCCCCACAGAGGGTTGTGTTCGTCGTATCATATCCAGCAACAACAAAGCCGGCAGACTAAGACAATATTAGGTCAGTAAGTTATCTAGCGTCGTTCCTTCAAATTCGTCTTCCCTCAGCTCTCATGGTTTCGATCCAGTCAGGGAGAGGGTAGCCTTCCTTCTCCATGACACTGTTCAGCCTTTGTACCATCAAGTCAATTGCGGACTTAACGTGTTTGTCCTCATTGTCAATATCCCGAAGTTGTGTTTTGAATCTGTCCGATGCCTGCAGGACCTGAGCAACGAGGAAATCGTCTCGCACCGCTCTTCCCCGACGTACGCTTGGTCTCACCCCAATGACTGATCATGCAAGCTTCGGAAACCCGGTCATTACTACGCTGCCAATGTTTTCTGCCGACTGCAGCGTTGCTTAGGTCGATAAAACAAGGCAGTGTGACTTTATCATTTGAAAATTCAGGCACGAACTCACAGCCGACCACGTAGTACCGTCTATCAGAAGGGATTCTCAGGGCGCCGTGCGAACTACCGACGGAGTATCTGGGAGCAGGGAATGTGATAGCAGTTTATCAGTACGTTTAACCCAGCACTACAAACCCTTCTCGGTTGGAATTACCTAGCCATTTTGAAAAGGAGCTCTAGTTTAGATTTCCTGTTGATTTGAGTGCGGTGAGAGCCAATGTTTAGAGTGGAATTCAGAGTTTACTACAACACTTGATATGCGTGGAACTCTGCATAAACAGGGGAGAACCGGAGGAGACGATGGAGAAACCTTTCCTATAAAGCTCCGAGTTACAATAGAGAGAGATTACTTAAAACCAGCTTGGATCCGATATCCCCTGCCAGTCTGGGTGGCCTTCAGGTTGAGCTTTCCGACACATTCCCCTTCCTCATAAACGCGGGTAATGTTGCCACCACCAGCTCCTTGTGTCTTTGAAGTGGGGTTGCCGAAGAAGACTTGCGTGAAGGGAAGCTTAGAACAAACGTGGCTGGGTTTACCATCGTTCCAGTTGTAGTACTCAAAAAAACCGGATTCTCCGTTCAGTATTTTGCCTGCGGAAGATGGGAGCGTCCATTCGCCGATTACATGAGACTTTCCAGTGACGGTGTCGAGAAGAGTTCCTCTCCAGGTTGTGCCGCCAGTGTTCCACACCGTGAGATTATAGACGTGAGAATAGTCGCCGAAAATGTCAAGGGCGCAGCTAACTCCGGGACCACCATCTGCGCCCGGGGAGCAGTTCTTATGCTTGGTAGTCGTTCCTTTCTGGAATGAGGAAAAGACTGCATGGACGACCTGTCTACGTTGGTTGTCGGGACGCGGCTGTAGCCCCGTATAACCAATATCATTAACCCCGTGAAAGCCGAACTGCTGGGCAAAGTAGAAACCACTCTTGCGAGGTGCCCCTTCCATGCTCATAGGGAAAGTTATATCGCTCAATCCAGCCGAAGGTGCCTCTGAGAATGCCCAGTCATTATAGACTGAGGCCAGACCCAGAGAGGGGAGGTGGAGAGCCAGGACCGTCGCTGTGAGTTTCATAATGAGTGATTTCAAATTGTGATCGGTGCAAAGAAATAGCAGAAATGTTGGAATGGTCTCAGAGGTAAGGTATGAGAAGAATACCAAGGAAGGCGGGTTTTTACCTATATTTAAGGAACTGGGTCACAAGAAACATACCTACAATTTGACACTCCAAAATGTGAAGTTTGTGACCCAGTCACGACAGGCTTATTCTTCGTCATGCCGATTCTTGGTATAAAATGCCTCACGTTGCACTGTCTGCGGTTTAGGCAGATCTCACCAAAGTATGCTAAGGAAGCGTCGGGCTATGTTGTGAAATGGAATGTCCGGATGCATCATATTGAAGCAGACACCGGCAAGAGTTCAGCTCTGATATAGCAAGGGATAAGACATCAGTTGCTGTAGTAGGCAAAGAACCACTGATGGTCTGAAACTTAAATGGCAATTTCTGACCAGGGCCTGATAATCCGGACGCGAGCAGGGTGTCCAGACTACCTGGTGAGGTGACTAATTAGTCACTAGTCAGACTTAAAAGTCAGCTTTAAAGTTTAACTAATGACCAACCATCGTGAGAGGGCCCAGCCAGACTTGGAACATAGGGCTGTTGTGACGACGGGACTGAGCTGCTATCCAAATGAGGAGGTTACCGGGTGGTTCTCTCTTGATGTCGGGAATATCACCGAAAATGCTCTTTGCGGCATGTTTATTGTATGGAATGCCAGGTATGGGCTTCGGCCGGATGATCTGGTAAAGGATGTACAAAATCGGCAAGACCGCGGTGAAGGGGGCCAGAACGGTCAGCCATTGTATGGGATTGGTGATATCCAGCATGTTTGCCATGATTAGGATTGTCGTTTCAGTTCTTATGTGGTGAAGATCACAAGTGACTGATGTGCCCAGTATACCTTATATGTGAAATGGTAGATGGAACATCGATGTCTTACATCTTGGTGCAAAATGAGAGGTCATGGTCATGAGGTAGATTCGTTTTGCTTCAATAAGGAAAATGCCTGGGTCAGTCCTCTTGGTCGGACAGGAGTCAAACCTAAAGCCTTGCGTCGGGGGACGCCACAGTGGAAGGCTCCAACGGATCTTGTAGTTGAGCCGTCAAAGATCGGGGCGGGAGCGGAGACTAAGTCCATCTCCGGTGTCTCAGCACTTTTGTGCTGCCAAACTAGCAAGCTATTCACTTGAGACCCAGAGGTAGTCATTTCTCATGTACTGGCTTTGAGGTGTTAGGCGGGATCTCAGTCTTCACTGTTTCGCAGCTGCAGTACTTGATAGTCAATTCATGAATGTTGGAGGGCTATCATAACGATACCCTCCTACTGAGTCTCCAGGCCTTAACACCTTGATTACGGTCAGCACAGAGAAGATATTGACAGTACGAATAGAAGAACTGAAACGGAGTCGGCTTATTGCAGCTCCGACTCCGGCGGCTGCTCAAACGAAAACTTGAACTCAACATTTGAGGTTCTATTCCACTAGGATTAAATGGGCTACGGTATAAGGCATACGGGGCTGCAGCTATTAGGAAGAGATCTACAGATCTGTCTCACAGACAGCGAGCTTCATCAGCGATCGTATGTAGTTGCGTCGTCGGAATTCATTCAAATTAAGTAGCAAGTAAAGTAAGTATCTAAGTTTTCCTTTCTAGGTAGGAACCGCACAGTATGTAAGTCGCATCAAATAGCACTCGCAATGATCTTCGCAGCCGCCACCTCAGCAACACCGTACGCAGCTGTCTGGATGTGGCCAGATACAATAACGGGCACAATACTGTTGTCGACTACTCGCAGATTCTGCGTACCATAAACCCGCAGATCAGCATCGACAACCCCACCCTCAGCCTTGGGAAGAAGAGAGCAGGTTCCGACCGGGTGGTAGAAACTCGTGACCGTGTTGACGGCAAACTCACGGAACTGATCGTCAGTCAAAACATCCGGGCCAGGCTCCGTCTCAACTTCCCAGACGGCCTTGAGGGGTCCCGTCTCGGCAATCTTGCGCGCAAACTTGGCGCCCTCGACAGCAGCCTTGATGTCGTGCTCGTTGCTCAGGAACTTGGGGTCGATGATGGGCTTGCCGGTGGGGTTCGCGGGATCAATGTGCACGTTGCCCCGGCTGAGGGCATGCATGACGGTGCTGAAGATGGTAATGAACTTGCCGGAACCAGGGTATCCGGCCGCGCCCACGTAGTTTGCGTCAAAGATGAGTTCATAGTCCGGGACAGAGTCGTCTTTGAGGAACTCGAGCTTCTTCTTGTCAATGGGGTTGGTGCTGTTGCCAAACTCCGCCTCTGCAAGAGCAATGATCTCGGCCTGAGCCGATTGATTTATTTGCCCCCAATTCAGAAATCCGTATGCCGCGGTCGTGTAGTCGTAGAGAGACACCTCGCCATCGATCCACTTTTGCAGCTCAGCGGTGGCGTTAGCACCGCTGGAGTCAAAGATGAGCGCATCGAAGGAGTCGAACTCATCCTTGAGACGATAAACGTTGGACGTGCGGATATGGTCTTGGTAGTTCTCACCGACGCCAGGCAAGTCAATGAGCGGCTCAACACCGGCGGCTTTGAGCACAGCTGTCTGACCAATACCAGACAACTCGAGCAGACCAGGACTTTGAATAGAACCAGCAGACAAGATGACCTCTTTGACAGCGTTGACAACCGTGCCATCGGCCAGTGTCACACCAGTGGCAGTGTAATCGTTGCCATAAGTCTTGTTAAGATTGACCTTGACGACCTGGGCATTGGTCCTCACCTCGAGATTCGACCCTGCAAGTGGAAGATAGCTGTTGGCGCTGTAAGACCGGGAATAGTCGGTATTGTCGATGTTGGTGCCCTGGAACATGATGCCAATGGGGTTGCCGTGCATGTTACCTTCCTCGTTTATAGGAAGACCGAGCTCCGTTCCGGCTGGTTGCCATGTGTTGAGGACATCATACACCACACGGTTGTAGGTGTTACGGATGGGGCCAGAACGACCACGAGAGTCTTTGTCGGAGCCCGTAAAGTTCTCCGACTTGGTCATGGCCTCGATCATGACATCCCACGACCAGCCTCCGCTACCCATCTCGCCCCAAGCCTCGTACTCGGCCGCAGCAGCGCGGTCATAGCAAAGGTAGTTCATGGCTGACGAGCCACCCAGAACCTTGCCGCGGTTGACGGGGATCTGACGGCCACCGAGAGCGCTCTGGCCAACTGAAGTGAAGTTCCAGTCATATTGCGTCCCCAGTATTGAGCCTCTCAGACCAGGTACATTGATACGGAGCTCGTCTAGAGCAGACGGGCCAGCTTCGAGAAGCAAGACATGAGCATTTGGAAGACCAAGACTCAGGCGGGTAGCCAGAGCTGAGCCCGCTGTCCCGCCACCTACGATTATCTATCTTCTCTGTAAGCACATGCAAGGAACTTTCCCGAAAATTCGACGCGAACTGTGACTTACGTAGTCGTAAGATTGAGCTGAAGTGCAGGAAATAGCACTGAGCAGCACCAGTGCTGGCCACGTCTTGAGGAAGGGCATTCTGGGCAGCTTAATGATAACAAAGGAAGATTTCTCACTTGGCTGGGTCCAACGGATAGTCGATGCTTGGTGGTGCCATAGGGGCCATTATTGGGCGGACAAGCGCCGTAATTTGTAAGTGCGGCCTTCATTCGACTTCCAAGCCTCGAATGGCTGTTTATCGGGGGACTTACCTCCTTCTGTGTAGTAGACTTCTAGTCGAGGGATCTCCTCCGCTTCCTTGCATTACGCAGAGATTATTCATGCGTTCGCTCTGTGGAATGAAGCTCGCGGTCCATATCCTGGACGGTGAAGAACCTAACCCTGAACCAACATTTCGAAGTCTCCTGAAAATTTCGGATGCGACGTTGACCAACCAATAAAGAGGACTCACCCATGGGTTCTGCCACGTAAATAATGGCGCAGAGCACGACTACATACTGCTGCGTGTGCGTGCTATGTTAAGGTACCAACACAGACAGGGGGTTGTCGACCCTAGTCCACACTTGGTTCTTCAGTCGAGTGTGCCCCGCGGTATTAGCCTCGCATACCGTATCCGGTATCTTAATCGCCCATGGTATAATGGGATGGTATGATTCTGTGATCACTACAAGATAACTTTTAGCCATGTAATCAAAAGACCATGTTCATGATGGTAGGCTGTGTCGTAATCATAACACGAAAAGGCTAGACGGCCGGAATAGTGTTGAGAACGTTAGTTCATATCTTCCTTCGACATGGAATCGGCGATTACCACTGGACTACGCCTCGTCTGATTGGAAGTCTGGAGACATAGAGGCTATTGATGTTAACTGAGTGCTTCTTACATCTCGTCCTGTCCACGGGAATGACCCGCGAGTGGGCGGATACGGGTGGCCCCGAGAACGCTGCGCAGACACACGAAGGTCATGCCAGAACAAGCACAGCAGCTCATCGGAGGTTCTAAAGCAATAATACGCGATAAGCCGGCATGGTGGTTCCGGGTGGGCCCTTGCCAGTGGGACCAGCTTTGGATGCGAAGAATGGACGTCCACAAGGCGGCGTGGTCGGCTCTCCCCGCATGCGATAGCGATGGATGCATGCACAAGCGGTTCGATTAAGATTGATACTAAGGTGTGCCTAGCGGACGCGGAGTTACAAACGTTCGATCCCGAAAGGCGGGTCCGGGGAAGCGTCCCCCCTCATATGATGTGACGTCCGACATAAGTACATGGCTGTTCACTTGATGCGCCTGATGATCAAATCTTAGCTTTAGTGCAGATGAAATTTCGTCCCATGCTGTCGTTCTGAGATCTGATGATATCGTTATATTCTGCAATATGTTTGAGAGACAGAAAAAGACAACGTTGATGCGTATTAGGCTAAGTTTGAGGCACATAGAATGGTCAAGTCCCTTGTTTTACGAAGTCCGTTTTCCTAATGTCCACATTTGGTAACTTGGCCCGGTTTCAAGGACCAGGGTCCTGGCCTGAATATTGCAGACAATTTACCTAATGATTGGTTCCAACAGCCAAGCCGGGACACCGATACTGTAGACTGAGTTGGTTAGGTGCCATTGCTGCATGCGCCTTCTTCCTCCAGTGCATCATTACCCTTGGAACGTGGGCTTAGGACAACATCTTCCGCAGAACGCTACGAAAAGTCCTGGGAGGGGTTACGTTTCCTGGGTAGTGCAACCGTCGCTACAGTTGACAGTGATCCACCCTGCTTGGCACTGAGCATGGCACCCAAGGTAGCCCTTGCTCATGTCAATGCTGGAGTGGACACGAAGTGCTCGTGCCATTTCCTTCGTAACCAATGACTTCGAATCATGTATTTCAAGTCAGAGTCTGCACACAAAGAAGAAAGCTCATATGAGGTACCCGAAAGGTCTCAAGGAAACCTAGTACCTGAACGATTGTCTCGCGTATATGGGCCAACGAATTGAAGACCTATTTCCATTGCCGATGTCGAGCGAGCTCCTGCCAGAGTACAGAGGAAAGCAGTCTATGTCTCTGAGAACGAATACCTGGGCTATCTAAGAGCACGATGAGATCTAAGAATTGACGAGATTATTAACACGGTGTTGTTCGATGAATGATACTTCAGTACTTCCCCCGTCTCACGTTCCAGGGCCGATCGTGCCTCGGGACAGCGACGCAGGGGTCGAGATATCATCCCCTATCCAGGGCTGTGCATTGCTTTGGTATAGCAAGACCAACAAGATCCGGTCGCAATGGAGGCAAACACCGTGTTCGATGCAAGGGTACCTGGCGTGTTGTCCTTGCCGGGTTTACCTTTCCTGCGGTGGCTAAATCCATTGAAGCTACCATAGACGGCACCGCCTGCAACAGGCGAACCTTTCGTCAACATTTCTTGGTTTTTGTGTCTGTGGGCCACGGTCTGAAGGAACCAACTGCCACCCTACCAGGAAATATGATGAGACGAACTTCCTCTAATGGACCCTGCATGTTCCTTTTCCAGTGATCTCTGCTATCTCGGCAACACAGACACTACCCCTGTATCCAGCGGACCAGTCCTTCTTGCTCCTCGTTGCAGCAGAGAGTTCGTCACAGTCACACGCATCTCACCTCCCGCAGAATGGCATCCGTTCGAGCCGTTCAAGCTTCGGTACGCAGATACTAGTCTGCTCCTTTATTCACTCTCGGAGAAACATATCATGAAGTTGTTTCTCAGGGGCCGATCTACCCACTCCCTTAGGAGTCTTTGATCAAGATCAGTGACCTTAGTCTTCAAATTCCGCTACTCCTTTCAACCCTTTAACAAACATCACTAACAGCTATGGCCGACAATGAATCCCATGAAATCAGAACCGAGTCGAATGGCCCTCTTGTGAATGGTATTGCCATTGGCTTTGTTATTGCTTCGGCCGCGGTCCTTTCTCTTCGACTCTATACTCGCTTGGTTCTCCTAAAAACGGCTGGAAAGGATGATTGGACCATGTTGATTGCCATGGTAAGAGGGATTGGTATTACCATAACACTTGTAGGGCAAATCTAACGGGTGAAAAAGCTGTTTGCTCTTGTGGTTGGAGTAGGCACAGTCTTCGGTACGTTTTGCCTCGAGTTTCAACCCAAGCAGTACCTTAGACTGAGGCACAATGTTAACAATTTTGAGCACTCTAGAAGTGAAATATGGTATGGGTAGACATGCTGAAAATGTTTCGGCAGAGGAGACCATGGAGCAATTGAAGGTTTGCGCATCTTCCAGATCCTATCGACACTTGGCCAATCATGTGTTCGGGAACGGCTGACTTCGAGATGTGCAGTATCTTCTCATCGTCATTCTCCATTACAACATGGGAATGAACGTCGTCAAGGTTTCATTCTTGCTCCAGTATCGGCGTGTGTTTGTGTCGAAAGTAGTTCAGAGAGTCTGCTTCTGGGCAATGGTATACGTGGTGATATGGGCGTGCATCCAGGCCACTCTCCTTGGGCTTTCTTGCCTGCCTATCGCTATTATCGTGCCTAGCACCGCCGAATTTTGCCTCGATACGCTACCTATTTGGTACTTTTCATCTGCTATGAGTCTAGCGACGGACTTCATGATCTTCTGCATTCCTTTGCCTTCCGTTCTCCGGCTTCAACTTCCAAAAAAGCAAAAGGCTATGTTGTTTGGTATTTTCTGTCTTGGCTTCTTGTCAGTGTCAACGCAAAGTTCTTACCCCCTATCCCTCTGCCTTACTGTGTCTGACTGCCTTACGCTGAGACAATCAACGTTATAACCTGAGGTTCGCTCGCTGACTTTTGGGCTCTTACTACAGCGTCTGCATCATCTCAGTCTATCGCATGTTCACCCTCCGCACAGCCGTCTCAAGCAACGACCCGCCATGGGAAAATATCGGCGCCGCAATCTGGTCCGCCATCGAGCTCAATACTTCCATCATATGCGCCTCTCTGCCGACTATCCGACCCCTTCTATCCAAGTGGCTTCCCGGTGCGGGACTATCATCTGCCCATAACAAAACCAGTGCGTACAATCGATACGGCTCCTCCTCAGGCATGGGACGCGGAACCTTCAAGGAGCTTAAGAGTGGACAACGAGAAGTCAGCACTGAAGAGCTCGTGCTCAATGATATGAACGCCAGTCAGTCAAGCAGCATGCCTTCGGTATACGCACACGTCACAGCCGACCCAGAGATGGGTCACAGGGATCGAAAAAATAAGGGAAGTCATCAAAACCAAATCATGGTGACCACCGAGACCATGATCAAGGAAGGTAGACAATCTTATACTAGCAGAAACGCTCAAAGTACCGGGAGCCATTGAACTGAGAAGGAAGCCACTATACCTGCCCTCTCGTATAATTCATTATAGATGAAAAACTCGGGGAGGGGTTAAGATGAGTTTTACAGACAGCGTATGTCTGACAGCTACCAATTGAATCCTTTCACTCCTCTTCATTGCCTACTTCATTACAACCACATAAAGTAATAGGCATTTATTTGCACAAGTCGAAGTAGAGGCCGTCTATTATTCTCGAAGCTTACTCATCCGTGTGCAGTGGTGCATCTGGTCCATCGTGCTTAGCCATCCAAGGAACCGGAGGCAGGACTGGTATGGCAGGCCATATTGTGCCGAGTGCCTAGTATGATTTTTAGACTCCGTAATGACTTAAAGTACTCTGTTTTGAGTCGAATATTCGGCTCGGGCAACACATCCAGCCTTCAACTCCACATTGCGCCGGCCAAGCTACCGGGATGACCCACTAAAGCGCCGCGAGACCGTGCCGTGCTGCATTGCCTCCGAGTGGATACCGTGACGGACTATTAGTATAACCGAACTCCGCCTTGCTCCATTCAGGTTCCCTAGCCGTGGCTCACCCCATTGGGTGATTGTGGGTCTCTAGCGATGCATCCTTGTATGTCATCGCACACGCTGATTGGCTTGCCGACATTGTCCCGCGCAGCCTTGGGAAATCTGGGGCCGAGCCGATCAGAGCTCCCACGCGCAGCCTTCGCATCTTTCACCATTTTCCCAATCCTTTCCTCCCACCACCCACCACAATCCGCTTTGCCTGGTTCCCATATACACATAGCCGACGAGATTACTATCGCGAACAGATCGCCGACCGACGCCATGTCACAACTTGGTTCGGTGGCCTTGGCCAATGGCTCCGCGACGCCAAAGAAAGTCGCCTACTTCTACGATTCCGACATTGGTAATTATGCCTATGTTACCGGTCACCCCATGAAGCCCCATCGCATACGCCTCGCACACAGCTTGATCATGCACTACGATTTGTTCAAAAACATGGAGATATATGTATGTCATGTGTCTCAACCGTCGCGTCCCCATGGATTCTAACGTGATAATCTTAGCGCGCGAAACCTGCGACAAGGGGAGAGATGACCCAGTTCCACACAGACGAGTACATCGACTTCCTCCAGAAGGTAACTCCTGACAACATGGACGCCTATCAAAAGGAACAGGGCAAATACAATGTCGGAGATGATTGTCCCGTATTTGACGGCCTATTTGAGTTCTGCGGCATCAGCGCTGGCGGTAGCATGGAGGGTGCTGCCCGTCTCAATCGTCAAAAGTGCGATATTGCAGTCAACTGGGCCGGTGGTCTTCATCACGCCAAGAAGAGCGAGGCCAGTGGCTTCTGCTACGTGAACGGTACTAGAGAATCGCTTCAGTGACATTCTTGGATCGCCTGCTAACTGCCTATAGACATTGTCCTCGGCATTCTCGAATTGCTGCGTTTCAAGAAGCGCGTCCTCTACATCGATATCGACGTTCACCATGGCGACGGTGTTGAAGAAGCATTCTATACTACCGACCGAGTCATGACCGTTTCCTTCCACAAATACGGCGAGTACTTCCCTGGCACTGGTGAGCTGCGCGACATTGGTATCGGCACCGGCAAGCACTACGCTGTCAACTTTCCTCTCCGCGATGGTATCGACGACACCTCTTACAAGTCAATTTTCGAGCCAGTCATTGAGCACGTCATGAAATTCTATCAACCCGAAGCCGTTGTACTTCAGTGTGGTGGCGACAGTTTGTCCGGCGATCGCTTGGGCTGCTTCAACCTTAGTATGGAGGGCCACGCCAACTGTGTTGGGTACGTCAAAAGCTTCGGCTTGCCGACCTTGGTCTTGGGTGGTGGTGGATACACCATGCGCAACGTCGCTCGCACATGGGCGTTTGAGACTGGTGTTCTCGTTGGCAAGCATCTTCCCAAGACGCTTCCTTACAACGAATACTACGAAGTAGGTTCCTTGCTCGCATTGTCACCAGCCAACAACTGTTAACTGACCCCATCTTAGTACTATGCTCCCGACTTTGAACTGAACGTCCGCCCATCGAACATGGAGAACTCCAACAGCTTCGAGTATCTGGAGAAGATCAAGGCCGCTGTCATCGACAACCTGAGACATACCCAGCCTGCCCCCTCCGTACAGATGCAAGATGTGCCTCGCCAACCCTTTGGTGGCATGACGGACGAGGAGGAAGCGGAGCTAAACGATATGGACGAAGACGAGAATGCCGACGACCGAATGACACAGCGCCGATGGGACCAGCGCACCCGCAACGAAGCCGAGTTCGAGGACAGCGATGACGAAGATATGGATCAGGCAAACGGCATGACGCGCCCTCGGAATGCCAAGAAGCGCACCTTCGGTGACTACCGACAGGCTGAAGGCGAGGTCGACAGTGGAGCGCCCTCACCCGTGAATGGTGCTCCCGAGGGTGAAGAAGCCCCCAACGCCGAGCCGATTGTGGATGGCGACATTACTCTCGAGAACCCCGCCGAACCCGAAGACACATCCGACAAGTCAGTCCCGGAGAAGGAGGCCGCTCCCGAAGCCTCGAAGGGGGATGCCGTCGATGAGGATGGTGATGTTGGCATGGAAGAGGGAGCGGATGTCGAGGGGGGAACAACCACAATCAAGAAGGAGGAAGTCGAGGCAGAACCCGTCCCGGTAGCCGAGAAGGAAGAAAAGACGGAGAAGACACCTTCACGCCAGCCTTCCGCCGATCCTGCAACTCAGCCGCCCGTCGCAGAAACGACAGAGACAACCAAAGCCACCGAGGCTGCCAAGGAACCTGTCAAGGAAACAGAGACGGCGGTGGCGAGCAAAGAGACTGAGGCTACTGAGGCTAACGAGTCCAAGCCCGAGGTCGCAGCCGAAGAACCAGCTGCTGAAGCCAAAGCAACTACCCCTGAAAAAGAAAAGGACACTACCGAGAAAGCAGAGGCCAAGGCCGCTGAGCCCGAGGTAGACAAGATGGACGTTGACGAAAAGCCGGCCGAGGAGGAAGCCAAAAAGGAATAGTGGTACAAGATCCCCCTTGTTCCTTTTCTTTTCCGCGGTGGCAAAAAAAACAGAAATGCAGCACACCACCTATGACGCAACGTTGGGTTCAAGTCAGCACGCTCGCGGGAGGGGTGCGAGAGTATCGGGCGTTCAAGGATAGGTTTTTGAGGGGATTTCCTAGCATGGAACTCTGGGGTTATTGTTTGTGGTTTTCAGTGATACTCTCATACACTCCTTGCAAAGTATTGTGCCGGCGGGAGGAGATCGCCGGCTGTATTATAGATAGGCCAGGCGCAGTAGTACCTTGCTGGTAGCGATTTTAGTTAAACTGAGTAATATGTCGCAGATAATTCATCTTCGTCTAGTGATTCTGTGATTCTGGAAGTATGTCTTCTGGGTGAGATAGCTGTCCAATGGTGCTGATGCTATGACATGCCGGAAGACGTGTCGTCAGGTTTCCAGCTTCTCTCACAGGATAGAACGCCCTGATTCTGCTACACGATGTCCTAAACCCACTCATGTTGACTGAGTCTCCAATACACGACAAGCACAGAGCAACCGTTGGCCTTCTCGCTGTGTAGTGTCTAGACTTTTGCTGCCTAGCCTTTAACAACTCAAACATACGTTACTTTCGAGGGTTATCCCACATTCTCCATTAAGTCATCTGCAGTCAATGTCCTGCATCAAGTGTTCACAGTCCTTGAATTCTAATTTTCTGTAGCGCCGCTCTGGATCTATCCCCAAACGCCGTACTAGCGATTGTGTGATATCATTGAGTATCCCTGTAATCATCGAAGAATCCAAACATCCAAGAAATAACCCAACATCCTTCATCATCCCTCATTACAGCTAGCTAGGCCTGTCAGAGTCCCTTTTATCCCGAACCAAGCTGCTCCTCGACGCCACGGGAGATACCCCAGGAAGCCGCGGCTGCCCCGAAGCGTCCCATACAACAGCACCAAAGTACCCTCCATCCTCCGGACTGGGTCCTCTGTCGGTATGTCGCCGCGGTGGAGGCTTCAATGGCGTAGGTAGTTCTGCTTCAGGGGCGTCTACGGACAGGAACCGTACGCCTTCCTCGGTTTCGACCCTCGTGAGGGGTATTGTCGTCTCTCGTTGCGGCGAGTCTTCGTATGGGGATGAGTCCTGGTATGGTGTGATGTGCACCGCGGGAGGGGGCAGGATCCCGGGGACGTCACTGAGATCTATCCGCGGATGCGGAGCTCGACCACCGCCGCTAGCATCAACATCGTGATAGATCTCCCGGTGGTCGCTGGTCGGGTGTTCACACGAATCACTTCTTGAGCAGCGCGCCTTGTTCTTTACGCCGCCGTCCCCGTCGGACTGCGTGTAGAGCTCTGTGTCGGCGCTCTCTTCGATGTTGGGTCGGAGGTAGGAGGGCGGTCGCGCCCTTGAGCTCTTTCCGCCGAGTAAAGGGCGGAGAGTGGGGACGCAGAGGCAGATTATGGCGCAGCTAAGCTCTGTTATCGACCAGATTCCGGCGATGACAGTGTTGTATGTTGCGTCGGTGGAGGTCGATGAGCTCTTGAGTGTTGTGAGGCGGATGACTGAGATCGCGCAGGTACTGCCAAAAATGTCAGTGCAGATCGCGAGGAAGCACGAAGACTGGCAGAAGAGGCTTACAAGAAGCCGAGTCCAAACGTCGCCATTAGTACTATCTTCTGCCTCGTCGGTAGGCGGATTGTCCGAAGCAGCGGCACTGGCATGAGGAAGATGACGATGTCGGTGAAGAGGTTGATCGACGACCCGATGATCCACCAGTCGAGAAGTCTTATGCATCGGCCGGGTACTGTGTGGTCCCAGAGGCTCTTGAGTGGGATACAGGCCAGGCAGATTGAAATCACCTGCGATACCCCAAAGGCGATAATGAAGATCAAGAAGATATTACATAACTTTTGAAAGGCCGGTAATGGAAAGACGCGCCGGTACTGAAGAAGAAAGGTTGATTTGATCAATGGATAGGCCTGTTTAGGTAGTCAGCTTGTGCTGCCATAATAGGATTGATCTCGAGAAACGCACGACTTGGTAGATGGCGACAGCCGTGATTGCAATCTGTACATCGTGTGAGTTTTGTCAATCTTGTCATTGCTTTCAACTATGCTGGGACTACCTCTTGAGATTTGAGAAACTTGTCCCTGGGTAACGTAGCCTGATGTAAACCATCGCCAAAGTGGGTATCTGTGTCGCCCAACTAATCAGCAAGATACCTTTCATCTCATACCTTATCGAGGCAACCTACTTATGAGCATCAAAAGTCCAACAATGAAGACGAGAATCTTGGTTTCGAGTAGTCAGCACTCAGTGGTCGACTTTGAGGCCAGTCCAGGGTTGCAAACGCACAGAAGATGCTACCAACGCCGAATCATCCCAGCCCCATTTCCTCAGCAGGCAAGCGCGGACGTAGACCCTGAGGGCCGTGACAAGAGTCGAGAGAAATAGCGCCGTGACTGTCACGCCGATTACGAGAGGTTGTCGCGTTTCGGTCGGATCCACCGGGGGGATATCTAGGGTCGCTGCCTGTTCATCGTCTACGGCTATTGAGTCCATCGTCCTGTATCTCAATCTCGCCTCTCCCCCAAAAGAGCTCGGACGGGCGATGTGGTGACCAAGGAGCTATACTGGGAGAGATGTTGTCGGCCGGTGCTCGAAGGTTGCTACGTGCTCCCTGTGAAGTTCGACATTGAAAACCGCGAGAAACAGATCTTAGATCATGATCTACTGGTGCGTGGAGTCGCTGCTCGAGATCGCGAGGCACCATTCACGTTGGGATTTGGTGTTGTAGCAAATTAGACTATAGGTGGGAATGGCATGGGAACGTAGGAGCAAGGCAAGGTCAAGTGTTGACAATCCCGGGACCAGGGCACACCAATCTCAATCGTACATCGCACGAGGAGCGCCCATGATTGAGTTGGAGCTAGGAGCAGATTTGTCGCGTGTGCCAGGATCACGGAGCGACGAGTACACCTGGAATGGGCGTAAGCTTTGAGTTCGCCATGACTCGCCCTATTCCGCGGCCATCGTAATTTGTAAAGCGTAAATCTCGCGATGCTGCGCTGCGTTCCCGAAGCGCAGTGACGTCGTGAAATGCTCTGGTCGTAGGACCATAGGATGTCTTCAATAGGAAGCGAGGACACGAATCACAAGGCGTGTCTTTCCTCAAAGTTTGAGTTGGCATCTCCAAGGTGACATCGCTGCGTGGTGCTTAGAGCGATATCTTCTTGGCTCGGCGATGAGGATCACCATCCTTTCCCACCTATCCCGTTTGTTCCTCTCTGCAGATTCGGCGCAGGAGATCCGACCGCCGCGGCTCGATGTTCGGGACCGTCGCGCCTATCATTTTGCCTCCAGTGAGGGCACACTTTTCCAGACGTTTCGTTCCCTGCAGCCCTCGAGGCTTTGAGCTTCCCCCGCCATGTCGATCTAGACAGTCTTTCCGGATACGTTTAGCATCGTCTGTTGTTTTCTTCAGACGGACTGGCTGTTTGTTTGAAATCACGGAACTCAAAATCGGCATGGATGGGTTGCTCGGTTTCCGGGCATTCTCGTCCCTTAAGACCATCTAGGATTCAAAACCGATGCCGCGCTGTGTTGTGGGAAGATGGTGAACTGGAGGCTAACATGGATATCCTCCGCAAGCCGGGCATTGAATCATAACAATCGCTGAGCCGCTACCAGATTGAGTCAGGAGCCCGTGAAGTTGACAGTGGGCGTTGACATATCGCAAACGTTGTATTTCACTCAGCGCCGAGGATAATGTGACTGTAATTGATGATGGTCTTAGTAAAGGCGGCATATATGCATCTTTGACTTGAAATAGAGTAGCAACAAGGTGTTTAGTTGAGTGGATGCTATGGGGCGTAACCATCTTTGCCGGGGGGGGTTAGTGACGTCGACTCGTCATTTGCGTGAGGAGCAATTCCAAGGATTGCCATCGTTCAAGAATAGCATCGATGAGTTCCGAGCATTGTTCTAATCGTTTCCAGTGCGATCCTTACCAAATACGAAGCCCTCAGCAAGAGAAGTCGGCCGAACGAGGAGGCTGGTGAAGGGTAAGGTAGATGATGAATTCATCCTCAGCTGAACGCAGTGGAGGGGATGGCCCGGCAGTGTGGCTGGTGAGCTTCGGCATCCCAGTCTAGCCGAATGCGGCACCATATGTGGCTCGACCACTCACACCTCAACATCTCAAACTGTCGTCCAACAACAGATTTTCACGCTTCAAAGCTGGAAAGGAAAATGCGGGTTGCTGTTGACCAATATTACCTCGGGTTTTTGAATATGATTCAATAAGAGACAGAATTAGACTAAGCTGGATATCCCTATCTTTTGCGGTGAGCTCCTTCCCGCACTGATACAGCTCCAAAAGTCAAGCACGTGACTGTTTGTCAGCCAGGCACGGGCAGTACGTACCGGACCAGGCTAGCTCCGCCGCCGGGACCATTTTCGCCAGGCTGCTCAGAGCTGTCGTCAACACCACTCAACTCCACGACCCAGCTGCTTCCATCCGCCTCCATCACCCCAACCTACGCCCCTCCAAATCGCCACGAAAACCGCCGCCCGCGACAGCATTTCGACGACGCCAGCTCAACACTTCATCCTCACATCTTCAGTAACGTTTACAGCATCACAATGGAGCGCTTCAGGAACATGCTCCAGTCCCAGGGCCTCGGTGGCCTGGGCAGCCAACCCGGAACGGTAAGAGCATCCCGCGCCTTGTCGAGCTGCCTTGACAGCTCCGATTGTCCAGGCCCTTGCAACGACATACTTACGCGGTTTTGCAGGATAACACACAGCTTATCGACAACTCCGAGACCGTCTACATCTCCTCCCTTGCCCTCCTCAAGATGCTGCGACACGGCCGCGCTGGTGTTCCCATGGAAGTGATGGGTCTGATGCTGGGAGAGTTCGTCGACGACTTCACGGTACGCGTGGTAGATGTTTTCGCCATGCCCCAAAGTGGTACCGGCGTTAGTGTAGAGGCGGTCGACCCTGTTTTC